GGAAAAGACGAGTTAGACACAGCCCCTGCACGTAGGGAGCACCTAGGCAGATGGGGGAGGCACTGTTTCTGATGCCATGGAGCCCCTAGTCTGATGAGGGAGCTCCCTGCGAGGGACATGGTCTGTCCCTTCTTGCCCGACTTCTCTGCAGGCCCAACAACACAGCTTGGGGGAGCTTCTGTTCCTTGCCTTGTGTCACTATCCCCACAAGCAAGGGTGACAGGGTCTCCCTGGCCTCCTGCCTGGGTCTCCACCCTCTTGCCATCACTCAGAGCAAGTCACTGCCTAGTCAGGGTGGCTGGATTGATTCTTCCATGGTTGTAATTCAGTACTTTGAGCCCCTTTTACCAGTGGGCTGCAGGGAAAGAGCAAAAGATTGATGAACTGGGTGTTGGGATCAGTCCTGCCCTTGCTGGGCACAGATGGCACTTTCCAAGGGCCCATGGAAGAGCCAATAATGAAGAAACTATGTGTAGAGTGCGGGCAGGTCCATGTGCATGAGACGCTACGGCTCCCAGCCATCAGCCACAGTGTGGAGTCATTACTACCCTGGGGCTGAGGGCAAGGGTGATGCTATCACTTCATCCAGCTGATGCCACAATGCTGGGAGTGCAGCCACTGCCAAAGCCATGGCCTGCAGAGAGAGGGCTGATAAAACCCTCACTTCTCTCTCCTCTGCCTTCCATCACAACCCCTCCCCGGCATGATCAAACTGCAAGTCAAAGACAGAAGGAGCCTGGTGACACAGTGCATGGCGTTCAGGGGTTTAGAGAAAGTCAGAGAGTGGGTGGAGAGAGGAAGCCAAGACACAGTGACACCTACTGTGTTGTGTTACTGCGTTATGAGCGTGGTGCTGAGGACTCATACCCTCTCCTCTGGCTCCAAGCCCCCAGGCCAATAGCCTGACCCTTAGAGACCCTTAGAGCTGCCCCCTCCAAGACAGAGCCTTGAAAAATGTATTTCTTCCATCCCCACATCATTCGCTGCCCCTCCCAAGTCCATTGGAGACTAAAAGGGAGGCAGGTCCAGGAGGACTTCTTGGAGGAAAAGGTACAGTTGGGCTTCATGAACTTCCTGATGAAAGAGGGCAGAGGAGGAGGAGCTTGAGACCAAGAGGAGGAAAAAAGGAGGGGCATAAATATTTTTGATCCCTATTAAGTAAAAGGTAGGACATGGATGCTTTCTCTTCTGTTACCGACTCCCCCACCTCCCTTCCTCCATGCTGATCAAAACAATCCTGAGGTTGGAATTAGGATTTTCATTTTATGGATGGGGAGACTGAGGTTCAGAGAGGTTATGTGACCTCTCAGATGTCACACAGCAAGGGATAGAGCCAGCATATAGACATACATCTGCCTGCGTCCAGGAAAGAATATATGAAGGTTTATAAAGATGTGGAATGGTTGGAGTATGGGCAAAAGCTGAACAGGGTCCTAAACCCATGGGGAAGGAGGGGGAAGAGGGCTCCAACCGTGGCTGTGGGAAAGGGTCTGGAGGGTTTTGCATTCACACTTCTGGAAGATGTGCTGGTGGGGTGTGGGGAGCGGGCCACAGCGTGGGAGGCGCCCAACTCTGGTTGCTCTTCCTGCTGTCAGGCTGTGGGCTGATATGGCATCCTTTAGGTTGAGAGAGGTTTTGTGATTGGAGGGACTGAAAATCTTGAGGAAAGTCCCTTAGGAATGGGCTGAGAAGGACGTGGGGAAGGGTGGGGTTATCTCCTTGGCCCAGAGGGACAATTTTAGCTGGGGATGAGTTTTGGCTGGCAAGGGGCAAAGGAGTGTTAGGGGATTCAGGATCCAGCCCTGCCTCCTGGAGAGTGGGAGACAGCATCAGTGAGGCTGAGGCTGGGACCAGCACTGTGTGTGGTGGCTGGGGGACAGACAGCGGAATGGGAGGCCTGGGGACGGCAGCATGGGTAGAGACCAGCACTGTGGTGGTTTAGGGAGGGTGGAGAAAGCAGGTCAGTGGGGCCTGCTTCAGGGCAGTACACTCCAGGCCTAGAGCCCAGGGGTGCTGCTGGGTGAAGCAAGGGCTGATGGAACTGGAGATGGGAGTCTCAGCATAGCTGTTGTCCTTGACGTGGGAGTCCTCTGGCTTCCACAGAGTCAAGTCCTTTGTTTGGTCTGGCTCCTGAAGTGAATGGATACTCTTCCCCCAGCCAGGCCTTCAGCCTTGGAGAGGCCACGAGGGATGGGTTCAGGGACTGGGGAATTTTGTGCAGATTTCCTCTTCTCTTTGCCTCCAGATCCTGTGAGTGTGTGTGTATGTGTGTATCTGAGAGAGTGAGAGAGACAGAGAGACACAGATACAGAGACAAGAGAAAGAGCGAGACTTCCTTCCTTGGATCCAAATGCTTAACACAGGCCCAGGAGGATTGAGATGGGTGGGGCTGGGAACTGCCCTTCTGAAACATGTTAATTATAACAATCCTGTCCAAGGCAGAGGAAGTAGAAGAAAGATTCAGACTCCCTGATGCCAGCCCCCTCTCTTATGGGTGAGGAAACTGAGGCACAGAAAAGGGAGTGGCTGGTTGAGATCACACAGGGGTTAAAGGAAGAGTGTCCCTGCCTCTCAGGCCAGGGGAACTTATCCCTTGCAGAGGGCCAGCGACAACTCCTGTGATGACCCACGGGAACAGGTGGCTACCTTCCTTCTTAACATCCACTGAGGGTCTCCTTTCCCTTTGATAAAATAGCATTACAAATAACAGTTCTTTTCTTACAAAGTCGATGGGAGGAGTAAATCACTTACTACAAGTAAAGAGCTTAGAGCAGCGCCTGGCACATAAGCATCGAATACATGCTAACAGTTAATAATAATTACAATAATATATAATGACAGTAAGGATAAAAGATGCCGCTGTTTTAAAGGGGACCACCCTGTGATGTGGAGTCTGATCTCGCCTCACTGGTCAGGGAGGGAGGGCAGAGGTGGCCCCGGGGGCCGGAGATCTGCCTGTTCCCGGCATGGTGGGACCCTCAGTGGGCAGTCCCGGGTGCTACATTTGCACACGCGGCACTCACTTCCCAGTCTCCGCCTCGAGGCTCCCTGTGAGTCACGCGTGTCCACTTGCCTTATCCTGGCCAGAAAAGCAATGGTATCAGCCTGGGAGCCCCCCAAGGGCAGGGCCCCATCCTGCGTCACTGCTTGCTCAGCCCGCCTGCCTGGCCGGCCCTAAGAGAGGGTCAGCCAAGGTGCCGCCTGCCTTGTAGCCACCGCCCTGCAGAGCATCTGCTTTCTTCTGTTCTGGTCCACTCGGTCTGGCCAAGAATGATGATGACGGCTGAAACGCACGTGGCGCCTCCCCGGGGCTGACATACACACTTCTCTGTCCTTGCGGCACACAGTTACTAGAAGGAAGCTGCTCTTATCTTCGTGTTGCAGAGGAAACGAATTGCAGATGCAAGATTTGCCCAGGGTCACAGAGCCGGCAAGCAGTGGCACCAGGATTTCAACACAAGCATCTGGCTCCAAACTCAGCACCCTTAGGGGCCACGCTCTGAGGGCACCCCTTTCTTTCCTCCTCCAGGCCTTGGGTGGCCTGGACGAGGTGGACAGAAGCAACGAGTTCCTTACTGCAGCCCGTGCAACAACTTTTCTCGACCTGCCTTCATCATATTCTCATCACTCCTATCCCCTCCTTCTTGCTTGTGGCCTCACTGTCCATTCTATTCTGTGATTTCTGAACTGAGGTCTGATACTCTGTTTTTGTACCTTTCCCACATCCAGACCTCTCCAGGTGGCTACCACTATGGCTTCTTAACACCCCTGTCCCTACCCTATTCACCTTCGTACCCTCCCCACTCCCCTTCCCACTTCCTGGGAGTAGACTTCAGAGTTCCAGCTACTCTTTTCATTGGCTGTGAAGCAGACAAGGAACTGGTGGAGAAGGAGCCTTCCTCTGGGCACTGCAGCAGCCTAGGTTGGCTCCTTCTGGGGCAAACATCACATGAGGGTAGGTCTGGGCATGGGAGTGAAGCCTTCGTGGGAGAGTCCAGTGGGTCCAGGCATGAGGACAAGGAGGTCCAAGGTAAGATTGAGTTGGGACCACAGTGCCAAACCCAGTACTCTAGCCTGCTCCTTGCTCCCAGGAGGAACAGTTTTGAATTGCCAGGTCCTCTTTCTGGAGTGTGTTAAGTACAAAGCATGCCACTTCGGCAATCTCTTCCTCCCCTCTGTTTTCCTCTGTCTAGCCTGTGGGCCTTAGGAAGTGGGCATGGACCCTGTTGTTTACTCTCTGATGCTGCTCCTGGGTCGGGCCTTGGTCCACACAAGTGGATGGATGGATGGCACAAGTGAGATGGTGTAACAGCCTTTACTCCTGCCTTGGCCAAAAGGCTGACCCTGACCCAGTTCCAAGATGGTCACAGGGAAGGACCACATGGAACTCGCAGGGTCCCTGGGATACCACCCGAAAGATGGGTGGAGGGAATGGAATCACAGGTGCCCACTGAGGCCAACAGCCCAGCTGCCCCAGGTGACCTCAGGTGGTAGCTGGTACTGCCAGGAGCTCCTGGCTGGGCTTATATGTGTGTATGGTGGGAACCACAGTGCTGCCTTAGTAGCAAACCTCAGTAATGCTCTGCAAACAGAAGTAGCCTTTGCAAACTCTACCTGGCTCTGCAAACCGTTGTTGGAGCCTTCAAATGCAGTGGGCTAGGGTGAGGCAAGAGGAGCCCACTGGCTTGCCCCTGGCTTTTCTGTGGTGTGAATGAGCCACAGAGTAAGGATTCAGCAGCTGGACTGAGACCAGCTGCCTGCTGGCTATACTAGCCCTGAGAGTTATCAGCAAATCTTTACTGAATTTACCTGGTGCCTCTCTGAAGGTACAGGGAGCTGGCGGTCCAGCCTTCAATTCATTCTTGCCACCAGCCCTGGACAAACTCACCCTGCGGAGAGGGTAGCTTCTCTCTGTGTAGGCTGCAGTCTCAGAGGCTGCCTTTGTCTCTGGGTATACTCAGAATTAGATTTGGTTATGAATGACAGAAAAACCCAAATAATGGTGTTTCTAATAGATGTTTATTTCTCTCTCACATAAAGGAGGTCTGGGGATAGTCTGTCCAGGTTTGTTGGAATGGCTCTGTGGTCATCAGAGATCCAAACTCTTCCTATCTTATTGTGCTACCAACCTCCAGCTTTGCCTCTACTTCATGGTGCAGGATGGTTGCCAGAGCTCCAGCCACCATACCGACATTGCAGCCAGCTAAAGTAAGGAAGTGGGGAAGAAGGGCATGCCTTCTCCCACCTGAAAGTCACATCCATGTCACCCAGGACATGTCTCTGTATATCCTATTGGGCAGAATTTAATCACATAGCTGCACCTAGCCTCAAGGGTGGATGGAAAATGTAGTCTTTAGTTTGGGAGGATATATGCCAAGGTTAAAATCAGGGGTCTTGCTACTGAGGAGGAATACCAAACAAAGAATAGAGTGTAACTAGCTGTCCTTGCCACGGCCTGCAACCTGAACAGAAGGTTCCAGATGCCATTGGATTTCCATAGGTCCCTCTGGATGGCATCCTTGCTGTGGGGAGGGGGACACTGGCTCCCTCTCTGGGCCCTGTCTCCAGGTTTGGGACTTGAAGTCTTCCTCGGAGCTGTGGTGGTAGCAGGAACACACCCGCCCTGGCATCTCCAGCTGGGAGAGGATGAGTTTGATGATCAAGGCCTGCCATGCCATCCCAAAGAGGATCCACAGGGACACCATGTTCTTGTACCACAGTGGGTATCTCTGGGAGGGGTTCATCCCTGGGGAAGAGGCAAGGTCAGAGGATGGAGGCCTGGGAAAGTCAGGACCACATTCCCCAAGCAGACACAGGGATACAGGGTTTGATTCATCTGAGCAAGTTTGAGGGGTCAGTGGGACAGAACATGGAGATTCCTAGATTCATGGTCACCTCCAAAGGATTCCACAAAGCCTCCCTGGATTGGTGCTTGGGTTTGGGAGCTACATTTCCTCTTTGCTTTTCTGAGGGAATCTGTTTATGCTCCATCCTAGCAGTTCTCAAAGTGTGGTCCTTGCGGGCGGCAGCATCAGCATCCCTGAGAGCTTGTTGGAAATGCAAATGATGGGGCCCCTACCCCAGACCTACTGGATCAGAAACTTTAGGGGTAAGCCCATCAATCTGCATTTTAACAAGACTCCAGGGGATTCTGATGTCCACCCTATTGTCTGCCGGGCTGCTTGGTTTTCTCATATCTGAAAGGAGGCAGCTTGCTGGAGTCAGGGGATTTGGGAAGAATAAGGGAACCACTGGAATATGTATTCTGCCTCAGTTCTTCAGTCACCTGTCTGAACCTCCTTTACCTGTGAGATGGGGAATATGACTGTGTCCCTTTGGCTTTTAGAATGAAGTCCAAATCCCCAAGGCCCTCTGCCCGTGTCTGCAGTACACCTCTCCCCTCTGACTGCCTGGCCATTCTGGTCTTCTTCCCGTTTCTCCATCTGTCATTCTTCCTGCCTCTGGGCCTTTGTACTTGTGGCCTCCCAGCTCCAAATGCTCTTCAATTTTCCATTTTTCTTGGCCTGGTTACCTTCCCTCATCCTGCAGACCTCAGTTCAGACATTGCTCCCTACGGACCACGTCGGGTTCCTCTGTTAACATATGGCCCATGTGCACCTGCTGGGAAAGTTACTTCATCATCTATAAAATGCAGACAGTAAGAGTCCCCACCTGTGAATGTTGGGAGGATCACACGGGATGCTACAGCTCAAGGGCTCAGAATGGTGCCTGGCTCATGACAGATGCCCAAGGCCTGTAGGTGGTTGCTTATTTCATTCACCACCAGATGCCCCCAAAGAAGCTGGTGCTGGGTAAGTAATGGCCAAGGGCAGGGACTGATGGGAGCTGCTGTGCATCTTAGATGAATCTTGCCAAGGACTTGCTCTATCATTTAATTCCCTCCCTGGAGGCCTGCTTTGTCTCCCTCATCAGAGTGGAATCATTCAAAGAGTAGAGATGTCCCCTTCTATTTCTTTGACATCCTTTTCTGTCTTTGTTCCCTGTGCCATGCCTCTGTCAACTCCTTATCCTGTCTTGCTGGCCCCAAGACAGCCTCTCTCTCCAGGTCCCCCAAGGCTGGGCCCCCTCTCTAGGACCCCCCACATGGGTGTGAGGTTGCTGCCTGGGAGCTGACCTCTGCTGCCTGGCAGCAGCTGGGATTGGATTCGGTTGATTGGGTTATGGGGCCATGATTCCGCTGACGGTCCCAAATGAGATCAGGCAGTGAGCCGGCCCTCTGGCCCTGCCACCCGCCAGCTTGGCTTGCTCCTGGCGACAGAGGGGAGGAGGCGATCTTCTCCCTTTTTATTCCATTTTTGTAAGCTGAAATCATAAGTGGCAGGAGACCTGGCAGCTGGCAAGGCGCTCAACTGAGCTGCAAATGCAATTGGGAGGCACGAGGGCTCTGGGAGCCGGGGAGGAGCAGCCGGCTGGGACCTGGGGGCGGCTCTGGCCACAGCCTTCAGGCAGAGGAGTGGCTGTGAAGACAGCCCCTGTTGCGGCTGCTGATGCAGGGATGTTGAACACCCAGTAGCCGAGTGGTGGACCTCAGTACCCCCATCCAAGAAAGGGCTTGTCCCTGTTGCTGGAGGGCAAGGACAGCTGAGAGATTTGAGGAATAGGCACGGAAGACTCCGAAGTATAGGTGGTATGACAGGCCCAGGCTTGGGAGTTTGTCCTAGACTGGCCCTGATTCACTTGCTCTGTGACCTTAGGCAACTCCCTTCCCTCCCGCAGGCCTCTGTGTTTCCTTCTGTATAAGGAAGATCCCTTGCAGGGGAAGCAGTTGGGGCTCACATTGTGGTGACCTGCTATGAGGCACTGCCATGGTTGCAGAGGGGCCCAGGAGGTAGGAAATCTCCAGAGATGTGGTGAAACAGGGGCAGCTCTGCCAACTACAGTGGCCGCTGGGCAGGAGTGGTCTTGCCTATCTGTGCCCCATTTGGGCCGGGTCTCCTCAGTCAGGTTGTATTGGTAGGAGAGAGGGGGTTATAGATTTTGGACTCTATCCTAAAACTATAGGAAAACAATGAAGGTCTTCAGAGGAGTTGGGCAGGTGACATCACAGCCTTTGTAGTTTTTAAAGGTCATAAGGGCCAACAGGGGTCAAGGAGAGAGGTTGCACACCTGCGTGGGTGCCGTCCTTACTATGCTCTGTGTGAGTAGCAAAACCGTAGGATTGTGCAGTGCTCAACCTGTGCAGCTGTATGCAACAATCCTGCCTGAACCAGGGAAATGGCAGTGGAAATAGAGAAGAAATGACAGATCTAAGAATCATACTCTGAGCTGCGAGGGTGCAGGTATGGCTCTTGGAGCTTCTGGGCTCAGTTCTCCTCAGACACATCTCTCTACTCTGAGGGTAAAGGTGGGAACATGACCCAGTTGTAAGAAATATTCCCAAGAATTTCCTTCCAGAGCAACAGACTTCCTAGGATGAGGAAGATCAAGAAGGGGACAGCGTGAGGCCCCAACATGAGACCCCTCTTCCTGGGGACATTGCAAACAGAGGCTAGAAGGCGCTGAGGGGCTCTAGGGATCACCTCATTTTACAGGCAGGAACACTGAGGCCCAGAGAGGAGACATTTTAGATGGTCTGGAAAGTGCATGAATTTTGGAGTCAAATAGATGAGGATTCACATCTTGCTAGCTGTGCAATTTCGGGCACATGGCTCAGCCTCTCTGAGCTTCAGTTTCCTCCTCGGGAAAGTGGGGGTGACAGTTGTTGGCCTAGGTTGCCTGAGGAGTGAGCTGATTGTGACATTGGTAAAACTTCATTCTTCCAGGCTTGGTTCTGTCGTGAACGAGTGAAGAAGGGCAAGGCCTCCTCCCCAGAGCCGGGGATCAGAGGGAAGGCACAAAGACCCTCCAGGCTGGCGCAGTGGTGGTGCCACTGACACCTTCGGGGACGGGGAGGGGCAGTGATGAGGCAGAGCTGGGGCGCAGCCACTCCGCCACTGCACAGAATGTCCCTCTACTGCCACCTGCTGGGCATCGGCCTCAGCCTGCTTCTGCAAGGCTGGTGGCTTCTGGGGCCTGTGTCTTGTCTAGGTGCGGTAGTGCCATTGATTAAACCCGCCCTAGGTCCAATGACCATAAGGTCCTTTCTTGCTGGCACTCAGAATCTGCCTGCCAAGTGTTCGCCCACAGGGCTCTGGGGAGGCCGGGGTTCCAGGAGTCTCCCTGACTCTATTGCCAGATCCCCGGGGAATGTGCCCTCCAGCCCAGGAGCAGTGGGACCGATTGGCGCTCCATGGGAACAGAGCGAAGTGGAGAAGGGAGACCGAAGTGCGAAGTGCGGAACGGAATGGAGCGAAGTGGGGAAGGGGCAAGGACGGAATGGACTGGGGAGGGAGGTGGGGACTCCCATCGTGTGGAGAGCTCTAAGCACAACAGGTGGGCTCGCGGACATGTGAGGACCTCTCAGTGCTGGTCAAGGCGGGTAGGAGTGACCTCAGCCCCGTCACACAACAAAGGTGGGTAGGACAGTGTCTCCAGACTTTGAGCTTAAAAACCCCCACATGGCACGCACACAGCAGATGCCCCAGCTGCGGGAACAGATGAGTGAGAGGTGCAGGCAGCCAAATCTCCCCCAACCCGACCACCCGAATGCCTGCTGGGATCTCACCAATCACATAGTCGCCGAAGCCCACAGTGCTGAGGGTGATGAAGGAGAAGTAGAATCCCTCCATGTAGCTCCAGCCCTCCATGTGGGAGAAGAGCAGTGGCGGCAGCAGCAGGAAGAGCAGGAGGCCCGAGAGGAGGGCGCCAGAGCCTGCCAGCCACTGTGCCTTGCCCGGGTCCTGTAGGTGCAACAGCGTCCCCAGGCCTCCTGTGGCCTTCACCCCATGCTTGGGAGCTGAGAGGGCTCTTCACTTGGTCTGCGTTCTCCAGGTTCCCTGCCTGGCGCCTGTACCCCATGTCCTTCCTGTCTGCCCAGTCCCACCCCGTCTCTACCACTAACGCCCTTTTTCACTGAGGATCCTATTCTGGGCAGTGACCCCGATCTCATCACATCCCCACCAGTAAACCCTGCTCCCACCTCTTGTCACTGGTGACCCCAATTCCCACAGCAGCCCCTCATTCTAGAAGTGACCCATCCCCCTGTCCAGCAGCCTCCTCACCTTCCAGGTGACCCCCAGCCTGCTGGCACAGCGGTCTACTCCTTGCTGCATGAGATGCCCCAGTCGGTTGAGCACCACGAGGTTAAGCGGGATCCCCACGAGGGCAAAGAAGATGCAGAAGAGGCGGGCGGCCATCGTGTTGGGGCTCAGGTTGCCATAGCCTGAGGCGAGAGGGCCACTCAGGGGATCTTTCCAGCCCAGCCCTGTCCACTTGCCACCACAGCCCCACTCCTGGGCCCAACCCCCAGGGCCCTCATTCTAACCCACTGCAGATGTGAGCAGCTGACACTTACCAAGGCCCTCCTTTTCCATGCTGGGCTCTGCACAGGGTGCCCTGTATATTCATTCCCTTAGTTCACCCTCGAAACCATCCTTCCAAATCAGAATTATGTGCCATATTCCACAGTCCGGAGAAGCTCTAGGAGGCTAAGCTGCACACATGAGCTGAAATCCATCAAGTGTGAGTCTCCTCTTCCTCTCTTCATGTCCTCTCTCTGGATGGGCAGAGGGATGCTGGAGGGGGCAGAGCCTCCAGCTGCTGCACTCCCAGGATCTACTGCACCATTCAGGCTAGGCCATGTTGTCTCCACGCCACTCCCAGCCATGCCTGGACACAGTGGGGCATCCCTGTCCAGTGCAGCACTCCTTTTGCAGGCACCTTTTGCTCGGGGATCCCCATGGCCTGTCCCAGACTTTCTCACAGCTGCACTGCAGTGAGCAGCTCTTCCCATTCCAGTCTCCTTCCTTCCCTCTTTCCTTTCACAGTTATCAGTCCTGCTTGCAGTCTGAGGCTTTTGCCATTAATTCCTGCTCCTTCTCTTTTATCCTTCAAAGGCTCCCCTCAATATATCTCTTGTGCATCTAATTCTGTCTTGATATCTGATTCCTGGAGGACCCAAACTAGCACAATGGGCTCCCTCATAAGTCTCAGTGGGACAGAGGGACAGATGGTGAGTCATCAGCTGCCTAGGGGAGGTAGAAGTTGGGGGTCTCTGATCATGAAGATAGGGAAGGGGGAAGCTAGGGAAAAAAGAGATGTTTAAAAAAGACTCTATCCCCTTGGACATTCTTTGCTCCTCCAGCCCTGCTTCCACCCTTCTTGATCACCACCACTGTCTCGTCTTACTAAAATGCAAACTTGATTAGGTCATCATCTAATGACAGTGGATGTCAATGAACCTGCCCATTGAACACTGGGTAGCCATGGCCCCATCCAAGCCACCTCTCACTTCAGCATGTCTCCTGGCTGCCACCTTTTACCTTGCTGGGATCTCTGGGCATCCTGCAAGGACCCTGCAAATCCATCTATGATTGGGCTCATCTGTACTCTCTCCGAATGCAGCTCCTGTTTCCAACCCTCTCCACCTACCTGGACCTCCTTATTGCCCTCCAAACACACAAGTCACACTCCCACCTCAGGGCCTTTGCATTCACTGGCAGAGGGTTCTGTCCTCAGATAGCTGCAATTTGCTCCATCATTTGACTCATGTCTCTACTTCAATGTTACAGTATCAGCGAGTCCTTGAATGGCCACCCCACCTACAATAGGTGCCCCCATCATTATGAGACCGCTTTAACTAGCTTTACTTTTCTCTAAGCACACCCCATTACCTGATTATTGTCCATGCATGTGTTTATTGTGTGTCTCCTCACACTAGAATGTCAACTCCCCAGGGGCAAGGACTTGCTAATTTTGGTTACCATTGCATCCTCAGCACCAGTGTCTGGCCCATACTAGGTACTCAATTTACTTATCTATTTATATTTATTTACTTAGTTATTTTTTTTGAGACAGAGTCTTGCTCTATTGCCCAGGCTGGAGTGCAGTGGCATGATCTTAGCTCACTGCAACCTCCGCCTCCTGGGCTCAAGCGATTCTCATGCCTCAGCCTCACAAGTAGCTGGTACTACAGGCACCCGCTACTGCTTCTGGCTAATTTTTGTATTTTTAGTAGAGACAGGGTTTCACCGTGTTGTCCCGGCTGGTCTCGAACTCCTGGCCTCATGTGATCCACCTGCCTTGGCCTGCCAAAGTGCTGGAATTACAGGCATGAGCCACCGTGCCTGGCCTTCAATTTATTTGTTGAACAAATGGATGAATAAATGAGAGAACCCATGAACAAGCCAGGAATGGAGTTCATAGATGAGTGATTTCTGGGCTCAGGCCTGTCCTACTGGCCCGGAAGCATTTGTTTTAGGGCTTGGAAAGTACCGCCCTTAGAGGGTGCTGGCCCCAGGGTAATGGGGTTGCTGAGGAGGCTGCCTTCTGCTGTGCCTCTCAGAATACCTCCTCTTCTCTTGTGGCATTCCAGATGAACCTCATCTCCCACCTGCCTCTCCCTCTCTCTCTCAATTCCCCCATCTGTATGTGAATGCACGTGAGGTCCGAGTCACAGAACAGAACCCTCGCTCCTCCCCTCCTGTTCACTTCGCAATGGCTAGACAACTCTGCTGCTCACTAGCCGTGTGACCTGGGGGAGATTGTGCAACATCTCTGTGCCACGGTGTCCCTATCTGTGACAAGAAAATAGGCTGGGCCCGGTGGCTCACGCCTGTAATCCCAGCACTTTGGAAGGCTGAGGCGGGTGAATTACTTGAGGTCAGGAGTTTGAGGCCAGCCTGGCCAACGTAATAAAATCCTGTCTCTACTAAAAGTACAAAAATTAGCTGGGCGTGGTGGTGGGCACCTGTAATCCCAGCCACTGGGGAGTCTGAGGCAGGAGAATCTCTTAAACCTGGGAGGTGGAGGTTGCAGTGAGCTGAGATCATGCCACTGTACTCCAGCCTGGGCGACAGAGAGAGACTCTGCTACAAAAAAAAATAACGTAAAATAAATAAAGTAAGAAAATAATAAGAGCTATCCTGGGGAGTTGCCATATGACAAATTAAAATCTTTTTTTTTTTTTTTTTTTTTTGAGACAGAGTTTCACTCTTGTTACCCAGGCTGGAGTGCAATGGTGCAATCTCGGCTCACCGCAACCTCCGCCTCCTGGGTTCAGGCAATTCTCCTGCCTCAGCCTCCTGAGTAGCTGGGATTACAGGCACGCGCCACCATGCCCAGCTGATTTTTTGTATTTTTAGTAGAGACGGGGTTTCACCATGTTGACCAGGATGGTCTCGATCTCTTGACCTCGTGATCCACCCGCCTTGGCCTCCCAAAGTGCTGGGATTACAGGCGTGAGCCACCGCGCCCGGCGACAAATTAAAATCTTAAACGGCAAAGTGCCCAGCACAGTGCCTAGTACAAAAGACCTCAGGTGTTTCTTCAGTGTACTGTGTGGCAGGAATGGGAAAGGGCCCTCCTCTCTCTGCCCTCGTCACTCTCACAGCTGGCTGAAACTGAGTGGTAGGAAAGGACAGAGGCATAATCCAGGCTCGGAGTGGTAGAGCTGGGAAGAGAGGAGGCAAAACCCTGAATTTGGTGGGCCAAAGCCACAGGCCTGGGGAAGAGGGTGGGAAGTGTGGGGTTTACAGACTAAAGGACCCTCAGATCTGGGAAGCCTGGCCGATGGTGACTGTGCTTTAAGGTCTGCCACCCTGGAACTCAGTATACGCTGGGTGAAAGCATATTTAATGGGACTCCTTAACGTGGCAGTATTTATTGAGCACCTGCTGTATGCCGGGCCTTGTAATAGACCCTTGTAATAGATCCTGGGGATGTAAACGATGAATCAGCCCATCCTGCCAGTCCTTCAGGGGCTCAAGACCCATGGAATCTGAGGTGCCTCCCAAGCATGCCTGTCTCAGGGATTGCCCAAGCTTCCATGTAGCCCTGAGGTCTGCCTCCAAGAAGTACTGGACAATTTAAAACTAGATGGAGAATCCTCTGGATGCTCTTGCCTTACCCCACCCTGCAGGGAGGCTGGGATACTGGTGTCCTGGAGAGAGGATCCTGGCTGGCCGGGAGCTGGGAGGCCATAGCCCAAGTCACGGGTGATATCAGTCTGCCACCTGGTGGCATGTTCTGTGTCATGCAGGGGCTAGGGCAGAAGGATCTGGGTGGCCCAACGTGCATAATTCCATGGGTTTCAGAACTTCAGGGATCTAGCCTGCTCTTCTCCTTCTCTGAACAACAGCCCCTCCGCACCCTCTTCAAACAAACTCTACCTCAGCTCTTCTGCAGGGCAGGGTTAGCCCAGGTGTCCCTGTGTGTGGGGAGCATGACGATGAGGAGTGCAAGCTGAAGAGAGGCCTGTGGGAATGGGGTCTGGAGACAGGGAGATAGAGAGAATGGCCATCTCCCCCAGGGCCGAGAAACAGGGAGATCTAAAGCTCTTTCACTGGATTTCTTTTTCTTTTTTTCTTTTTTTTTGAGAAGGAGTTTCACTCTTGTTGCCCAGGCTAGAGTGCAATGGTGTGGTCTTGGTTCACCACAGTCTCTGCCTCCCAGGTTCAAGCGATTCTCCTGCCTCAGCCTCCCGACTAGTGGGATCACAGGCATGCGCCACCACACCTGGCTAATTTTGTATTTTTAGTAGAGACAGGGTTTCTCCGTGTTGGTCAAGCTGGTCTCAAACCCCCAACCTCAGGTGATCTGCCCACCTCAGCCTCCAAAAGTGCTGGGATTACAGGCTTGAGCCGCAGCACCCCGCCCTTTCTTTGGATTTCTACTCCTTCTTCCTTCCTAATATCCCCCCAGCCCCGCCACTTCTCCTGACCACGAACCCCAGGGCTCAATGTTGGGTGGGCTCCGCTGAGGAGGTTGGAACCCTTGCAGTGCCCAGAGACATGTTTCTCACTGTGCTGGGAGACTTCTATTTCCTGAAAGGCCACGTGGGGCAGAAATCCCCTAGAGCAGTGTTTGTCGAACTCCAGCAGTGCATATGAATCCCCTGGGGACCTGGATGAGATGCAGAGGCTGAGTCAGCAGGTCTGCAGTGAAGCCCCAGCCTGCTCCCAGGTGGTGTACATGCCACAGAGCTGGACTGCACTTGGAGTCATGAGGCTCTAGGTAACCCCTCCAAAAGGCAACCAGCCTGCCGCCTCTCAGAGAGCTGCCTCCTTCCCCACCCCATTCCCCCAACCCCATCCCGCCCTTACCAATGGTGGTGACGGTAGACACAGAAAAGAAGAAGGAACCCACGAACTCCCAGCGCCCCATGCTGGTGGTGTTGCTGAGGAGGCTGGCACCATTTTTGTATGCTTGGATGATGTCCTGGGGAAGAGGCTGCAGTGATCACCAGGCTCTGTGGGGTGATGGATTTCCTGCACCCCATAACACACACACACACACACACACACACACACACACACACAGCCCTCACAATTACTCTTCAATCCCAGCCCACCAGGGTAAGGAGACTCTACTCCTCTAACTAAGGGCTCAGCTACCATGTGGACAGCTTCTTCCCGACGCTTTGCCCAGGGCCTAGGTCAGGATGGAGTCCCAGGAAACCAACCACTCATTTTCTCCCCTGCTTACTCCCATTCCTGCAACAAACACTAGGTCAGGCATGATTCGTGGTGCTTTAGGGGACATGACCACGAGAGACACGACCGCAGCCCTCAGGTAAACCTAATTAACTCTAATATGATGGAGTCAATGTCACTTTGGGCATAAAGGAGGCAGTGCAGCTACACAATCCTGGGCAAATTGCTCAACTTCTCTCTGTGTCTCAATTTCCTTACCTGTAGAATGGTAATACAAATAGTACCTACTTTATAGACTTGCGAGGGTTAACTAAGGTATTATGTGTAGACTTAGAACAGTACCTGGCACATGGTGATAGCAGTTGCTACCATCATCATTACTAGGCATATAATGTTGTAGGACTCTGGGGAAGAAGGGTGTTTGTTCTCATTTGGGTAGGAGCAGAGGACTCACAGAGGAGGTGGTGTTTTAGCTGGGCCTTTCTTTAGGGTCAGGTAGAACTGCTTCTGGTGGAAGGACATTTAGGTAGATGGGACAGCAGTGCAGAGGCTGGGAGGTGAGACTGCCTGACCTAGATTAGGGAGACTGGTGAGAAATGATTGAGGCCACGCTGTGCTTGGCTCTGTCATACCAGGCATGAAGTGGCAGGTCTCATCCAAGGTCACTGAACAAAGGGGAGGTAGGATCTGGTCTGTGTGCTCTGTGACAGCTGGCAGTACAGAAGGGGTTGACCAGAGGGGAGAGACTCCTGCAGAGGTGAGTGATAGGCCCTGGCCTGCCTCCTGGCATACAGTGGTCTAGGAAGAACAGAGAGGAGATATTCAGAAGCTCAGGCCTCTGGGCCTATTTAGTATGGGCAGTAAAGGAGATGTTGCAGAGGATTGTGAGGGCGTGTGGACATGGGGCAGACAATCGAGATTTAGGACAGGTGGAGGAGCAGGGCTGGGAGGAGGAGGACCACTTGCTCTTGGCCTTGAGGAATCTGATAAGTTGCATGTACATATCTAGTGCTCAGAAAGAAGATCTGGGCTGGATACCACATCCTTATTCCTGGAGATGGCTGAAGTCACAGGAGGGCTGAGGAAGGGGGTGAGACAGGGATGGAGGGAGTTGGAGGAAAAGCCCAAAGAGATTACAGCCTGGCTGGGAAGCACCCACATTCACAGGTCCCCACTGAAGCAGTACTCGTGGTGGTAAATAGCTCCAGCTTGGCTATGTAGCCATGCATTTGTATTGAACCTCTCTGAGCCTCAGTTTCTTCACCTCTGAAACAGGATGATAAAAACGGTACCCACCTGTGAGAGTGGTGAGAATGAAACGCGTGAATACAGGTAAAGCACTAGGAACAGTGCCTGGTACACAGTAAGCGCCACAGAAGCATTTACTGTTATTACCATCACCGTCAGTCATCTCCCTGGGCCCAGGCTGCTTGTAACTGAAGTTCACCACCTTTGCAAGGGCAATGGCAGGCAGCTTCGGCACCAGGGCCCAGCAGTTGGGCTGTATTTGCAGAAGTCTGCAGGTGGGGAGCTGGAGGAAGCACTTTAGGTCCTTAGTAGAGATAGGCCTGGCCCTGCCTAGCTCCCGACCTCACCGAATCCGCCTAGTCCGAGGGTTCAGAACACCATTTCCGCTCCATGCTGGGTCCTTTCCCACCCTGGCAAGGTTCCCTGCCACCTTCCGGGAATGGCTTTGGGCTGAAGACTGGGTGGAGGAGCCACTGGGACTGCAAGGCGGGGATTCTGGGCTGGCGCGCAGGTGTCTGGACTCTGGGCTCTTGGACCGGGTGGAAAACCAAGCCAGGGCCCGAGACATCAATGCCTCCGCCGAATTGAGCAGCTGCCAGTCTGGCGTCGCTGCAGTCGGAAGATGCGCCACCCCTAGAACCCTCCCCAGCCTCCTCCGCCTCGCTGAGTCCCACCCTCGAGGAGCCTCTGCTCAGTCACCTCTGCATCCTCCCCCAAACCCCGCCTTCAGCCCTTGCGGGCATCCGCGCGGTGGCGGCAACGGCGGCGCGCCAAGCCCTCGGAGTCAGGCGGGTTCAGCCAGCGAGCGGCCCTGCGTCCGCCCTCGTCTCGAAACTCAAGCCCCCTCTCTGAGTTGCTGGTGGCCCCGGCCAGCACGCCTCGGGACCATTCCACCCACCATCCCGGAGAAGCGCGCCGTCCCCCAGGGTCCTGAGGCCGCGGCCGAGATCCTGCGCATCCTTAGACTCACCGCCCCTGCCGTACCAGCCCCCAATTAGCAAATGTGCGCCTAGGTTCTCCCTCTGGAAGCGGCCAGGTGTGGCCTTTAGTCCTTCGCCCAGCAAGCCCAAGGCGACCTTTCCCGGGACAGGCGGGCGGGGCTGGGGGCGCGCGCTCCCTGCCTTCCTCGTCCTCGCCCCTAAATTTGGATCTGCCTCCCAGTAGGGCCAACACGCCTTCTCACCCCCAAGGAGGACTCAGCCCGGCTTTTCGCAGTCCTCTCGCTAGAGGGGGGGTCTTTTCCTCCGAGGTCCCCCAACCCTCTGGTCCCAGCGCAGAAACGCCCATCCCCGTTGTGCTCGCGTCTAGGTTCCCGACGTTTCCCTGACCAGGGCCTGAGCAGGCCCCCGCGCCCTCGGCCTGTGCACCCTGCGGCCCCCTACCCCATCCCGCCGCGCCCGGGCAGACGCTGCTCGTCCCTGACCCGGATCAGCGAGTCCAGCGCTGGGCGGTCCAGACAGGTGAAGTTCTCCAACAGAGCCCACTTGTCGCGCTGGAAACTGCGGCTGGAGTCCTGCGCCGCGCGGCCCTCCAGCGTCCAGAACACGCTGGTGCCCAGCGCCAGGTAAGCCAGGTAGGCGAGCAGCAGGAGCACGGTGCTGGACATCACGCAGCCGCAGCCCTGGACCCTGCCCTTGGGAGCCGTCCGGGCTCGCTGTCGGTACATAGTGGGAGAGGCGGGGAGCTGGAGCCTGGAGCGGTGGACAAGGACCCGGGGAAGGAAACGGCCAGGAGCCCAGCTCGTATCTCCTCTCGCAAACGCCTGCGGGTGCCTGGGGAGGAGGAGTGCTGGGGAATGGGACAGCCTGGCCCCACCCAGCCTTGGGATCCAATCCCAGGGACAAAAAGAGGCTCTGAACTGTGGACATCTGGCCCCGCCTCAAATGTGTGCGCAGTGCCCACCCACTAGGTTTAGGCCAGGAAGAAGGAGAAAGCTGCTGGGTGACCGCAGGCGTTGACGGAAGTAGCCTGGAGCCCCTAACATTTCCTGAAATGAACCGGGGGAGGGACTCCTGGAAACTGCACTCAGAGGAAGAGATAGTAGAGACCAACTTTATTGTCTTGGGGCCCCTGCTTAAGTTCTGGGACTGGGGGCTATCTCCAAGGACTTGCTGTCTGCCAATCTCAAGACCTCCTTGGGTCTCCCACACCTCTGTACTTTCCTTTGCACCCAAAAAAGGGGCCCCAGCTGATTGCCACTTGTCCATGAGCTTGGGAGGCAAGAGGAGCCTTGACCAAGAGGCTTGTCCACTCCTTGCTTCTGAGAAGGCCCCCAAAACCCCTCTACCCAGAGTGGAGGAAGGTCCAGGCAGTGTGAAGAGTCCAGGCAGTGTGAAGAGTCCATGCGTCCTCAGCTTCCCAGTCCTCTCTTGGATGTGGCGAAGTCCTGGGGTGTGACTTGGACTCCTCTTGCTGCTGTAGATCCTCCCCTGGGTCTCCTGCCTGGAGCCTCCTTGGCTCCACAGCCTTGCCTCCACAGCCTTGCCTCAGTCCTGTGCAGAGGAACCCAGCCACGTAGGAGCCCACTTACTGTTGGGTGGTGGGAAAGGCAGAGGCCTAAGTTTCCAGGCCTCGGGATGGATTGGTCAAATCTCTCCTTTTGGTCAGGGACGTTGCAGTCTGGCAGGGGAAAGACCAGACCTGGAGGATGCATTCCTGAGAGAGGCCAGATGTTCATTGAGCTCACTTTCTGGAAGGATCCTGGTCTCTGCTGGCTCTCTGGCTTCCCAGGGGTTGTTGGCAAAGGCCCTTGAGAAGGCAGGAGTCCAGAGGGAGGGATGAAGTTAAGCAGGTGGCCTGTGAGGGTCAGGGGAGGCCATGTCTGGGAAAGTGGGTGGGACACCCAAGAGGTCCTAAGCCTTGCTCAAGGACAGCCCTGGACCTCTAGGCAAGGAGAGCTGGAGAACTTTGAGTGCCAGCCGATTCCAAGTGCTCTCATCAACTGTGGGGCTGCTCCCATCATAGCATTTTGGGTACTGTGTTGGGGCCACCTCTTTGCTTGTCTAGCACCTAAAGGCACATCAAGGGCAGGCACTTCCACTGCTGTATCCCCAGACCCTGGCACAGCACCTGGCACATAGTAGGGACTTGGCAAATGCACTGTACAGGTATCAAATGAGGCAAAAGTGAAGTCATCCTTTGTTTGTGTAAGGTCTCCTGGAAGGGGAGGGCAGTGGAGATCTGGCCACTCTTCCAAGCTACCTTTTTGTGGAAGGCTGTGGCAGGGGCTCTGGGACAAGGGTACACCTCCCTATCCGCACATGTTTTTAATCCTATCTCACATCTCCTCTCTGTTCTTTTCTTGGGCATACCTTTTCCGTTATCTCTTGGGAGAGCTCCTGTAACCAGTCCTGGCTGAGAAGTGAGGGGGTTAGAAGAGGAGGAGACAGACCTGGAAATCCAGAGAGCAGGTAAGGTGGGACTGGGGAAGATGTAAGGGGTTTCTGGGGCCACCCGGGAGCCTCATGAAGAAATAGGGATCTTCTGAGGTCTGGGGAGTCCACTGGGGTCAGGGGCTGCCCCGTCCTTGACGCCGAGGCCCCTACTGAGCAGCCAGAGCTGGCAGCACCTGCGCAGAAGCAGGGGAACTAGTGGGAGGATCAGCGCCAGCCACGCCAGGCCCAGGAGAATCCAGATGGCTGCCAGGCTCCGGTACACTGAGATATAATTCTTGCTGGGGTCTGTGCCTGTCAGGGAACAGAATGGCATCAATGCCAGGGGTCTCAGGACACAGCCACCTCCAGTTTCCATAGGGACCCTCACCGGCCAGAATGCCCTCTCCCTCTTCCTCATAACAAGGATAATCAGTGGAGGTAGGTCTGGGGGGTGGTGTGGGTCCTAGACCAGAGACTTCTGAGGATGTTGCTTAGAATCCACAGTAGTCCCAGAAATCACTGGTTTGGCTTCTTTGAATGACGAGGAGCTATCTTATCCTCAATAGTTGTCCTCAGCTGACATCTCTCCATCCCCCAAATCCCGTGCCCCCGCCCCCCGATATATGTGACTGTCTTGTTCTCACCAACAACATAGTCCCCGAAGCCGATGGTGCTGAGAGTGATGAAAGCAAAGTAGAAGCCCTCGCTGAAGCTCCAGCCCTCCACACGGCTGAAGACCATGGGGGGGAAGATGAGAATGACCAGCGTCCCCAGGGTCAGGAACAGAGCCAGGCCCAGGACTCGCAGTAGCTGGGAGGGAGGGAGTCGGCCCCTGAGTCCACTTGAAAGGCTCCAGGATCGTACGAGGTTGTGGGGAGTCTGGGGTAAACATGGGAATGGGACTGGGCCATAGCTAGGCCCCTTCCCTGCGCTGCAGACTCTTGAGGTGGGGGTTGTATCTATGTGTGCATGACCTAGTCCCACCCAGGGAAAGATTTGGGCAGAGGGATTGCTTTGGTGGGTCAAGGAGCAACTTGGAGACCCTTTGGGCTTCGGAATCACACATGAACAGGCTCCCTGGGGACTCAGATCTGGGACAGAAAAGTATCATTGAACAGTCTGCATGCCTCTGCCCTTGCAAGCAGCTGGCCAAGGGTGGGCACTGGGGGCCCACTGGGCGGCCTGCAGACCTTGTTTGCTACTGCACAAAAGGATGTCGGAGTTCTGTGATGTCCTTGGAGATGTGCTGCTGAGATCCCCCACTCAAAGGAGGGCTGTGGGCCAGCTGCCAGCTCCTTCAGGGTGCTCAGCTGCAGAGAACCTCCTGGTCCAGGGGCACACCCTTCCTAGGAAGGCCACACCCAGTGCCTGATTGAGGCAGGTATGAAAGCCTGGCTGGTTTGGCCCACTGTGGGACAACTCTGACAGCTCGCACATGCTGCAGAGCTCCCTGAGGCCAAGCCTTTGTAGAGCATGCACAGAAATCCAACTCACCGCTCTGCCCAACCTGGCCTTCACCCTTCCTTTTTCACAGGCATCTACCCCTAACACCATGCATGCCAAACTCCATCTCAGCATTGCCTTCTGGAGGACTCCACTTGCAACAGCTCTGTCATAGCAGGCCCATAAGGGAATTAGGGGGCATACCTGGGAGCGCCTGGGCTGGTCCTCCCATCTCTCAATGGTGGCCAGGTGGGCACGCAGCCCTGTGCCCAGGTGGTTGAGGAAGATCACGTTGAGCGGGATGCCCAGGAGGGCATAGAAGACACAGAAGACCTGACCTGCCTCTGTGCTGGGTGCCAGGTTCCCATATCCTGCAAGGGGAGGGAGCGTGTGCAAATATGGAGAAAGGGAGACTCCCGAGCGCCCTCTGGTCCTCCTCCCCAGACTCTGGCCAATGTTTGTCCGCCACCACCTCTTGGGGTGAGAAGGAGAAGCTCCCCTGTTCCCATGAACTCTGCTGGAATATTTTTATTTATAGGACTCCTGCTCCTTTTTGAAGGCCCATCTCAAATGACTGCCTCCATGAAGCCCTCCTTTCTGCCACTCTCCTTCTCCCTACTGGGTGTGGTTCCCCACAGTGTTTAATGTCATTGCTATGTAATTATTGACATTGTCTTCTATTATTGGTTTGTGTGTGTACTTAGTGTGTTCCTCTTTGTTGGACTGGAAGTTCCTTGAGGGCTGAACCTGGGTCTGATCCAAGTTTGTATTTCCCACCCCCAACTCCATCACTCTGCCTGGAATGTCACCCGACTTCAAGGAAAGTATGTGGAATTGCACTTCAATGAATGGATGGGGGCAGACCTGGGTCTGACAGTTTCCTTGGGATGGGATGGAGTGAGTTTTCTGGCCGAGGGGGTGTAGCAGCTGCTCTCATTGCCCTGTTCCCTTGGAACACACAGGATACTACCTGCAGCTTTGGTGGACAGTGGCTGTAAACAAATCACCCCCAGTTCCCAGCTCCTGCACATCTCTCTACCTGAGAGATTCTTGTGGTCGAAGGAGTGTGCATGGTCTATGGGAAGGTTCAAAATACTGGGGAACGAATACAGTCCGGACCAGATATCAACCTCTGAGGGCAGGGGTTGGTAGCTAAACGGCCTCTCATTCTTGTCCCTCGTTGGGACTGTTTTGGGGATGGGCTCTATCTAGCCTCTCAGAAAGTCCCAAGCAGAAGTGAGCCCAGTCACCTAAGCCAGTAATCTGCTCATTAATGCAAATTTCGTTGCCTTCCTCTCCCTACTGTTTCACTTACCCACTCCCTCCCTGGGCTTCCTGAATCATCTCCTAGACAAACCATATCCTTGTCTCAGCATCTGCATTTAGGGATCCCAAACTAAGACAGGGGCTTAGGGAAGCTCTTCTCTACCCCAGCCCTTTACCTATGGTGGTGACCACTGTGCCTGCAAAGAAGAAACTGCTGCCAAAGTCCCAGTTGCTGGGGTTGGTGGAGTTGCCTTTGGGGTTCACACCTTTCACCCAGGCTTCCATGATGACCTGTGGGGAGGTGACATGGGGTGGGGAGGGGGGGAAGAAGGAGCTGATGGTTATGGGGCACCAGTTGGTGCCACGCTCTTGGCCGGGTGCTTTTGTGTCATCTCATCTAATGATACTCTTAGATGGTATTGTTCTCATTTCATGGAAAAGGAAATGAAGGCTCAGAGTGGCTAAGGGGCCTGTGCAAGGTCACTGGACTCCACCTCCAGTGTGTGTTCCACTGGCCAGGGCGTCCTGAGGTGTGGGCTGCAAGCACGGGCTGGAGCGGGAGATGGGCCTGAGGGGTAAGGTAGAGGAGGCTCAGGGAGGGGGTCCCGTGGGAGATGCTGCTGGTGGCCAAAAGGATGGCACAAATATCGGTTGTTAGAACAATGGGAGGGTTTCAGGCTGGATGTGTCTGGAAGGCATTGCTGGGGAACATAGAGTTTCGGGACCACAGGGAAGCCGTGGGCTGCCTGCCATGAAGCTAACGGTGGGACAGAGAACCCTGTGTTCCCTAAGTGTCCAGGTGAGTGGGCCCCCTTGCTCTTTGCTGCT